TCACTCGCACTCACCACACACACACACACACACACACATACACACATGCACACATACACATTCATACGCACGGTTGTAGAGTTTCGCCAGTTCTACCGTGGACTGTTCCAAGTCGGTCTGGAGAACCCGACTGCTCGGGCGAGGTCGCGCCCGGGCAAACAAGTGGCTCATGTTTGGAAGCTCGTTCTGAGGGCCTTTGCGCCAAAGGTTGTCGATCTGTTGGCAGAGTACGTGGAGAGCGTCCATGTCTCGGGCTTGGTCGCTGAAGAGTCGTATGCTCTGGTGCCTGACTTTCTCGCTTCGGTTCACGCCGATCTCTCCAACTTTGCTCCCGCTCACTGCTGGCCCATTCTCTTTGATGACTTTGTGGCCTGGGCCCGTGGCGCCGGCCGCGTGCCTCCGCACAGTGATCTCCCCGCGACAACTGCCCGCGCCGAGTCGGACGCCGAGTCGACCGACGGCAGAGACTCGCCGGTCCTGCCATCACCAGTCTGGACGCACAACGCCGCGTTTGGCAAGGCCAAGGTGTCGGATGAAGAGGCCAGTGATGGCTGGGACGACGATCCGGCGTCGGCCCAGGGCCTGCTCGACTCGGCGATCCCGGGCTCGACCGGCATGCGGTACCGCGGGAACGTGGCCATGTCAAACGCGGTGCGAAGCGCCGGTGTCGGCTCGGCGTACTCGGCGCGGACAAGCTACAGCTACGGCAACGAGGACGCCATGGTCGGCCTGCACAACCAGGGCGCAACATGCTACCTCAACTCGCTCATCCAGTCGCTGTACATGACGCCCGAGTTTCGACTCGCCATCTACTCGTGGAAGTACGACGAGGAGAAGGACGGCCCGCCGGCCGAGTGCATCCCGCTCCAGCTGCAGCTCCTCTTCCGCGAGCTGCAGTCCAAAGACGCGCGTGCCGCGTCGACGACCCAGCTCACATCCTCCTTTGGCTGGACAGGCATGGACGCGTTCACCCAGCACGATGTACAGGAGCTCTGCCGGGTTCTCTTTGATGCACTCGAGCACGTGCTCAAGGGCACGCCGCAGAAAGACGTCGTCAACGAGCTGTATCAGGGAAAGATGAAAGACTACGTCAAGTGCAAGGCGTGCGGCCACGAGTCATCACGCGTCGACGACTTTCTCGATGTCTCGCTCGAGGTCTCGGACGAGGTCGACTCGGTCGAGGAAGCCTTTGCCAAGTTCATCCTCCCCGAACTGCTCTCGGGCGACAACCAGTACTCGTGCTCGGGCTGCAACCAGAAAGTCGACGCCCTCAAGGGCCTCTCGTTCCTCGAGATGCCGTACCTACTCACCATCCAGCTCAAACGGTTCACCTACGACTACTCCACCATGCGCCGCATCAAGCTCAACTCGTTTGTCTCGTTTCCCATGTACCTCGACCTCGAGCCGTACATGAGCGTCCTCGACGCTGCTGTCGACGAATCACTTGTCCGCACCTTTAAGGACAAGCCCAAGCGCCGCGCTGCCGCCTATCGCTCGCCGTACGCCTACTCTTCGCCCGAGTCGCGCCTCCGCACCATCAACACCTCGATCGCAAACTACAAGCGCATGCTCACCATGTACTCACAGTCGTCGCTCAAGCTCACTTACGAGAAGCTCATTCGCGACAAGGAGGCCGACAAGGCGCGTCTCGAGGCCGAGATTGCCGCCGCTGCCGCCGAGGAGGACGCAGACGGAAGCTCAGAGGCATCCGCTGATGGTGCCGACGGCCACGACAGCGACGCGATAGCCAGCTCGGCAACCCCGCGCTCGGCCCGCATCGTTCACAACATCGACGACTCGGGTATCTACCGCGGGCCTACCGAGGCTGAGCGCGAGGGCAAGGAGCTGATGTACGAGCTCTTTGCCATTCTCATCCACTCGGGCGGCTCGACCGGTGGCCACTACTACGCCTACATCAAGTCGCTCGACTCGGCCAAGTGGTACGACTTTAACGACTCGACCGTGTCTGAAGTCTCCGAGCGCGAGATTGTCTCGTCGTACGGCTCCAAGTCAGAGCCGCAGTCGGCGTACGGCTACTCGTCGCTCTGGTCTTCCGGAACCAACGCGTACATGCTCATGTACCGCCGCATCGACCCGGACCGCAATGTGCCGTTTGTCGATGGCGTGCCCGAGCACGTCGAGCAGGCCATGCAGATGTTCAAGGATCGCCAGGCTTCTGACGCAGCCACGCGCCTTGCCTCTTACTCGCTCTCCTCCGCCTCGCGCCTCGGCTATCGCCCTATTGCTGACGCTAGCGACGACGACACCTCCGGTCCACCACCCTACAACCTTGTCGTCCACTACTTTGAGGGCTACTCCGCCCTCGAGATTCGTCGCACCTTTGCCGGCACCGACCTTGTCGACGACGTCAAGATGGAGCTGTGGAAGGCACTCAAGGCCAAAGTTGAGCCCGAGCCCGAGCCCGAGCCCGAGCCCGAGCTAGAGCCCAAGCCCGAGTCCGAGCCCGAGTCCGAGCCCGAGCCCGAGTCCGAGCCCGAGCCCGAGTCCGAGCCCGAGCCCGAGCCCAAGCCCGAGTCCAAGCCCGAGCTCAAGCCCGAGCCCGAGTCCGAGCCCAAGTCGAAACCGTCCTCCCTCAACCTCTCCACCATCACCCCACACATCTCCCCAGCCAAGATTCGGCTCCGTGGCTACTCGACCTACTACCACTCGCTCGAAGCAGTCTTTGCCTCGTACCCTGGCGCCACGCTCGCCTCGACTTCGATCACCTCGGGTGACACCTCGATTGTACTCGAACTCGCCGAGCCGGTCGAAATCGAGGTGCCGGACAAGCCGCTGCTGTTGCCGACTGGTGTCGCAGCTGTTACTCCCGCGTCGGGCGACGCGATTGACTCGATTGACCTCCTCATCGCCAACATCGACCGCGACTTGGTCGGCGAAGAAAGCAGCTCGCCGCCAACGCCGCCGCCCAAGCCGGCCTCGCCCGACAAGGTCCTCCCGCCGCCGCTGCCCAAGACTCGCATCGAGTACCAGTTCCGACCCGAAAAGCACGCCCTCGTCCGGCTCATCAAGTACGACGCCGACGCCGACTCGTTTGGAGATCCGTTCCACATTTACCTGCCGCAGGCATCGGCTACTGTCGCCGACCTGCGCGCCCGCGTCGCCGACATCTTTGGCATCGCCCCTGTCCATCAACTCCTTGTCACCAACGACTGCTACGTTGAGGAAATCACAGGCGACAAGGAGGTTCTCTTCTCCGTCATCAACGCCATCCTTGACACTTTTGGCAATGACACCGTTTACATCGAAGACCTCACTCCCGCCGAGCCGTCGCCGCCCGCCACTCCAGTCGCTGACGCTACCACCTCGGTCGCCGCAGCGTCCGCAGCAACACCCGCCCATGCGCAGGCCTTCCCCGATCCGCCCACCGACCACACCACTGACATCCCTTCGTCTCCCTCGCCGTCGCCGTCGCCATCGCCGTCGCCGTCACCTTCTCCGCCGCCGGCCCCGGTCGAGCCTGATGACTCTGACATTATTGTCGACGACGACTCGACCTTTGTGCCTGTCGTTTCCGCGCCGCGGCTAGCGTCAGCGTCGGCCATCCCACATGCCGCCGTCCTTGACTTTGACTCAGTCCTCGACGACTCGCCGTTTGGCCCATCGGTCGTCATCCCGCCGCCGCCATCGTCCGAAGACGCCTTTGACATCTTCAACAACCAGCCGCCGCCGCCGCCGGGAAAGCCGCCGCTCTCCTCCCGCTCCGCCATGGTCCGCAAGCTCGAGGGCGAGTCGCGATCCTACGCCACAGGCTCTACAGCCTCGTACGTCTACTCGGCCCCGCGCTCCACCTTTTCCTACGCCTCGTACACCTCGTCCTACACCCGCCGCGAGTCGTCGCTCAAGATCCGCAAGGCCTGATCGAGGCGCCTGTTGTGGCAGCAAACGCCACTCCCCTCAGCCATGCCACTCTCGCATGTCTGCACCTGCACCCACCTCCACCCGCCGCCCACCACCACCATCGCCCTTGCTCTTGCCCTCCCTCCCTCCCCTACACACTCTGCAGAAATGGCCACCCTTGCGTCACGCATCTCCCCCTCTCGCCCCTCGCCAGGCATCCTCCATCTCCATGTACGCCCCCGTTCCCCCTGACACCATCACTCGCCCGCCCGCCCGCACGGCCTTTTCCTGCACAACGGCGAAAACCGGAGCGCACCTGATCGCGATCGCGAAGGCGATCACCATCGCCGCCACCACCTCACCCAATCCTCCCCCACCCACCCCATGCCCAGACCCTCGCCCAGATCGAACACCGGGTCCTGGCCCTCCTAACCGCCCTTGCCTCGTCTGCACCTCCCACTCAGCAGCTCTCGACCGGGCGCGTCCGCACGCTCGGCTCGGCGCCAGCCCTCTTTGTCCGGGTCTGGCTCGTCCTCGCCCACGCCTACACCGCAGGCCTTGTCCCGGCCAGCTGGCTCACGCTCCGCGGCGTGTACTACGCGCAGCGCTCGCTCGCCCCGCACTACTTTGCCTCGCAGTCTGTCTCCAATGCGGCCGTCGACGCTGCTGCTGCATGGCTGGCCAAGCCGACGCACATGCTCCACATCCTGCCAGCCGCCCGCGGTCTCGTCGTCGGCCCGCTTGTCCTCGACACCGACTGGACCTCGCCCGCGCCGTCACGGCTAGCGGTCTCGTCGTCGGCCATCGCCGCTGTTCCGCCAGCGCTCGGCCTTGCGCCCATCTTTACTGCCGGGCCTACTGCCGGGCCTGCCACCCGCCTCCTGGTGGTAGAGAAGGAGGCGGTCTTCCATCGCCTCGCGTCGGCGCTCCCGGCCCATGTCGCTGCCGCCCCCGGCCTCGCCCTCTGCACCGGCAAGGGCTTTCCCGACCGCGCCACTGCACGGCTTGTCGCCGCGCTGGCCTGCCGCGGCGTCCGTGTCGCGCTCTGGACCGACAACGACCCGCACGGCATCCACATCGGGATCACCTACGCCGCCGCCATCGCCGCCGCCGGCGGCGCACCCGCGCTCGCCCACGTCTCGCTCGTCATGACCGGCCTCCTCGGCCCTCCGCCCGCCAATCCGGCCTCGCTCTCCAACGCTGACTTGATTCGCGTTGTCACCGCCACCCGTGTCCTTCGTCGCCTCACCAGCGTCCTCGATCGCTCGCCCGCTCGTCCGCCGCCTGTCCTTGTCGACTTTGCCTCGGCGCTCTTTGCACTCGTCACGGGCGGCGTCAAGTGGCCGATGGAGCACGTGTACACGCTTGCAGCCTCGGCGCCTGATCTCATTGCGCTAATTGACGCTGTCGCCTTTGTGCAGCCGTTTACTTCCGCTCCGTCGTTGCGGCTAGCCACACCATGATGACAATGCCGAGGACAGCGGCAGCCACTGCACCGACCTTCGCGTTGCACACCTTGTCGAGGCCAAGGCTCTTCTTTCCCCCAGCAAACGGATTCTCGCCCTGGTACCGCCGCTGCACAGACGAGACAGCCGAGTTGACCCGCGGCTCGGCCTTGGCCGCCTTGGCTGCCCGCGCCTCGGCCTCGCGCTTCTCCTGCGTCCGCCGGGCTTTCGCCGCCGCCCGTGCCCTGGCCTTGGCCTCGGCCTTGGCAGTTGCGCGCGCCGCGCGCTCCGCGGCGCGCTCTGTCAGTACCTGGGCCACCGCGGCCTTGCGTGCTGTTTCTGCGCGCTCCGCCACTGCGCGGCACTCTTCACCGCACGTCGGTGCCTGAGGAACCTCGCCGCACCTCACGCTCGCCTTGGTCGCCCCACAACGGCACCGCACCACGACCAGACCCTCACACGCCACGTCATTGCATTCGCCCGGATGACACACCCGCGAGCAGAGATGACCGCACCCGTCGCGCAGCCGCTCGCACGCCTGTCCGCAGCTCAATGCTGTGCTCGGGCTCTCGCGGTCGCCGCACATCACCACCACCCGTCCGCCGCAAAAACACTCGGCCTGCACGTAAACCTCGCACGGTGGACACTCGCCGCGGTGACAGGCGTCGACGTGCGGGTGGCCGCACCTCCGCCGAGCCTCGCAAGCTGCGGTGCACGGTGGGCACTCCTGCGGCGCGACGCGGCTTTCGGCCATCCCGTGGTCCAGCCGGTCGCTCGCGATCGCCACAGGATGACACGGCTGGGTGCAAGTGTGATGGCCGCAACGCAGCTCAGCGCCGCACTCGTTGGCGCATGCCACCGGCGGCGCCGAGCATGCCACCTCGGTTGCCACATGCCCGCCGACGCACCCGCGCATTACCCGCGCTGAGCACGGCGGACAAGCGGGAGACACCGGAACCTGCGCCATGTACTCGGCTGGCACGTCGAGCGTGCCCAGGAGCCGCTCGTCGACCTCGGCCGCGGCAGCAGCGTCGCGTCGAAGCTCGGCTCGAAGCGTGTCGACGTGTACTTCCCAGGCCTGGATGGTCGCAGGATGGTGGCACGGTGCCGAGCACTCGTGTCCGCAGCTAGAGCCACTCCCGCACGGCTGGGTACATGGCGGGCACGGCCCGGGGTGGCAAGGGTGAGTAGCGTCGGCAGAGTGGTGGCACGGCGGCTGCTTAGTGCACGGTCGCGAGCATGAAGGGGCACGCGCCACGGCTGAGCCGCACGGGTACGACACCTGCTCGGCGCCGCATGCGCAGCTGACAGTCACCGATCGCGGACAAGGGAAGCACGGGCCGTCATGGCATGGCGCGCCGCACTTGTGGTTCCCGCACCGCAGCATCCGCTCGCACGTCCGGGTGCACGGCTTGCATGGCACCGACGGTGGACAGCACTTGGCCTTGCACACATGCCGCCCGCACGACCGCATCCGTGCGCACTTGCGCGAGCATCGGAACGGTTCCGAGCACGGCATGTCAGCCACTGTCGCCTTACATTCGCACTTTTTCGACACCAGCTCGTCGCACGGTGGGCATGGGCCTTCATGGCAGAACGCAAAGCAGGTGTGGAGCCCGCACTCGAGTGCCTTGCCGCATGTATCGCCGCAGGTAGGCACTGCCTCATCGCAGGCCAGCGCCTCGCTCGTGGGTCGCGACTTGCCGCATGGGCAAGTTCGCACGCCAGCACCCGGGCACGCCGAGTGCGGCTCGCTGCTCGAGTGACAGACCTTGGTGCACGCGTGGCGCCCGCAGCTCAGCTCTTCGCCGCACACCGCTTCGCATTGCCACGGAAGCGTCGCACACGCACGCAACATCTGCTCGCGCCCGCACACGCACGCGGCATCGGCCACCACCGCCTCGCACGGCGGGCATGGCCCCGTGTGGCACACCCGCTCACATGGATGGCCGCACCCGGCCAGCGCCTTGCCGCACACCGCCTCGCAGGAGAACGGTCCGGCGTTGCACCGCCGGGTCCGCTTGCTCGCGCCACAGTGACACGACGTGGCCACCATCTGCGGGCACGGTGGGCACGGGCCTGGGTGGCACTGCAACACGCACGCGTGCCCACATGCCGGCTCCAACTCCTTGATGCACTTGCTCCCACAGGTGTGCGGCGTGATCCACGGATCATGTGCCGGATTCTCCACAGCTCCGCAAAAGCACGTGTACTTGTCCGGCACGCTGTCGTAACTCGCCCGGCACTTGGGACACGCCCACTCGAGCGGGAGGACGTTAAAATCGGAGCCGTCGTCGGCGTGCTTGACCTTGCGCGGTGCCGAGCTGACCCATTGCAGAATGCATTGCGAGTGGACCAGCGCGTAGCACGTTCCGCACTGCCACACCGGATCTGTAGCCAGCAGCAGATCCAGACACACGAGGCAGCTCTGGCTCCCGCCGCAAGCCTCCTCCACCAGCTGCTTGGTCCGCTCCAGCCCTACATCGCTCCCAGAGTACCCGGCAAAGACATCGTCCATCACGGCTGTAACCATACGTGCTGAGCCGTTGTCGGCTGCCTTTCCATCACCGACCACCTCCCCGCCTGCCTCGGCATACAACCTCAGGAACTTGTCCACCTCGGCAGCGTCCGGCCCGACAACTGCATGCCCTCTCGCGGTCGATCCCGCCGGCGCGGCACTCGCCCTTGCACCCTCTCCTGCCGTGCCTACTGCAGCCCTTCTCGGTCGACCTCTTGATCCGCCTCTTCCTTGTCCACGCTGCGTTGGCCGTCCCCTGCTCGACCCGCCCGGCCGTCCCCTGCTCGACCCGCCCGGCCGTCCCCTGCTCGACCCGCGGCCACCGCCACCACCTCCCCCCTTGCTTCTCTTTCCCCTCGAATACATGTCCGTCACAGGCCTCTGTCTGACCCTCTGTCTGACCCTCTGTCTGACCCTCCGTCTGACCCTCCGTCTGACCCTCTGTCAAGTGGAGTGGAGTGTGTGGCGCGTGTCGAGTGGGGAGGGACTGTCTGTGGTCTCAAGTTGTTGTCGTCACCCAACATGGGCTCACACCACCATCCCCATCATCCCCCTCCACCATCCCCATCATCCCCCTCCACCATCCCCATCATCCCCCTCCACCAGCCCACCCGCCAGCCGACCGACGTGGCACTCACTCCCCTCCACCACTTCACCCCCACCACCACCACCACCACCACCAACCACCAACCACCACCACCACCACCACCAACCACCAACCACCACCACCAACCACCATGGCCAACAGTGTGGAGAGGTGCGTACATGTCCTCCAGTCGGCCACCACCACTGCCGCCAACACTCCCGGCGCCCCCTGTCTCTGTCCGGCTGGACTGGCCGCCCTGGTCAGCCTCGCCCACACGGTCATTCCCGACATGTCATCGGAGGCTTACAGAGCTGTGCAGGACTCGGTCGACTCGGTTGTCCTTCCTTTGCTCACTGCGCCCTCGCTCTCGCCTATGGCACGAGAGGCTGCCGTGGCTGTCATGGCGGCTTCGCTGGAAAAGGGCTCGCTTGCTGCCCTGGCGGACTTGCTCCAATCGCTCATGACGCCTGTCAAGGCCAAGCTGGCCGACAAGCCTGCCATCGAAGGTGCCAACGCTGCTCTGGACTCGCTGGCTCTGCTCCTTTGTGCTCTCGCTGCCTTTGCTACGCCTGTGCTTCCTGATCTCATCTCGCGGCTGCTCAAGCTCGCTCGCGCTACCGCCACCCCGCTCACCACCCGTGTCAAGGTCGTCACCGCTCTCGCGGCTGCTCTGACTGCTGCCGGCTCGCGCGGCCCCTCGGCTGCCTCATCGGAAGTGGCCAAGCCGCTCAAGGCCCTCTTTGCTCTCAAGATCTCCTCGCCGCAGATGCACGCCGCGCTCGGCCACCTCGTGCTGAGCCTCGCTACCGCCGGGCCGAGTGGGTTCAAGGACCTCGAGCCAGCCTTCCAGGCCCTGCTCAAGATGGTGGCCGGCCTGATGCCGGTTGAGGCCTTGCTCGAAGAGACCGACGACGCCATCACCTCGCTTGCCGCCGCCACTGCTGCCATGCTCGATCTGTACGCGCGGACGGTCGCATTCCCGGCCGCCGCCGTCTCGCTCGCCCCCAACGCCGATCAGGCCGCGCTACCGAACGACGCTGCCGGCTCATTGCCGGCTGCTCTGCTGGCGCTGCCACTCGAGGCCGCAGCAGCAGCACTGGCGTCGGTCCTCTCGCCGCTGGCCTCTGTCTTTGTCAAGGGCTCGGCCGTCGGTCGCTCCGTCTGTGCTGCCACGCTCGCCGCACTGGCTGGTCGCCTCTCGGTCCCGGCTCGCGCGGTCGCCTTTGCTCCCTTTCTCCGCGCCGCTGCGTCGTGGCTCAAGGCACTGGTGGGTGCCTCGGCGCCGCCGCATCACGCCGCCGCAGCCGTCAGCATCCTCAGCCCCGCGCTCGCTCTCGGCTTTGTCCAGCCGCTGGTCCTCCGTCTCCAGCCGCTCGACGCGCTCTTTGCTACGCTCCTCGACATCCTCGATGATGGCAGCCACCCGCTGCTTGCGCTTCCGCTCACCACCGCGCTCGTGCTCGACGTCGTTGTCGCTGCCCTGGACGCGTACGCGGTGTCGGACAACATGCCGCCGGCACTTGCCACACGCGCCACAGACACGCTCGCGGCCGACCGCTTCCTTGCCGCCTCCAATCTGCACCTCCGATCGACCGCAGCGGTTGCCCTCGCCCGCGCCGCAACTGCCTGCTCCGCCCTCCCGCTCTCGTCGACTCTCTTTGCGAGCCAAGTCCAGAGCCTGCAGCAGGCCCACGCGCAGCTCTCGGTTTTTCTGGTGGTGAGGCCGCTGCGCTGCGGACTCTCTGCTGCAAGCTCCTTGGCTCGGCCACCGCCGCGCACGCCATCCTCGCCTGGTCGGTCGCTTACCCGCCGCAGACATCGCTGCCCGTCCCAGAGCTCGAGCTGGGCGCCTCGGTTACTCTTGCGCTACTCTCGCCGTACACGGCGTCGACAACCGCGAGTCAGCCTGGCGCAGACCTTCTCTGCCAGGCCGGGCTTCTCCTTCTCGCCGGCCTCGCCACCGCCGCTCCGCGCCTTGCGGCTTCGATGTGGGACAAGGCCGTGCCTGCGCTTCGCTACCTGTCGTCGCTGCGGCCTGAATCTGCCTCGCCACAGGCCGTCACCTGCGTCGCCCTCGCTTGCTTTGCCACACAAGCAGTTCTCGCCTCGCCAGCCGCGCCGGCGGCAGCGGTGGACCTGGCTGTCGATCTGGTGACCGGCGCCTCGGCGCTTGCTGCAAACGCTTCGACTACCTCATCGCTGCTCTCGGGCTCACATCTTAGCCTTGCGGCCCAGCTTCCAGCCAAGCGGCTCAAGCCGCTCTTTGTCCCGCTCCTCACCCACGCAGCGTCGGTTGTCGGATCGCTCCCGACGTCGGCCGTCGTCACGTCCGCGCTGCCGGAAATGCTCGCTGCCATCGACGGCGGCGCCGCCGCGCCGGTCCTCGGCGGCTCGGCGCTTCTGCCAGGCTGCACACGGCTCTCGCCATTTGCCGCCGCTCTCGGTCCGTACGCCTCGTACGACCTCCTTGACTCTATCCTCAGCCCGGCCCGGCTTGTGGCCGCCTGTGGATCTTGTCCGGTCTCCCGCGTCCTTGTCGCCTACACCGCCACCGACCGGCAGGTCCAGCTCACTTCCGCCGTCGCCCTCTTTGGTGTCCTTTTTGGCTTGCAGAAGTCCGGCAACAAGCTGCAGCTCGTCAACCACTTTGGCTCGGCGCTGGGACAGGCAACCGCGTCTGCAGCCGCCGCCGCCGAAAAGGCCGCCAGTGGGCGCGGCAAGTCGCGAACTCGCGCTTTCGTCTCCAACATCGCGTCGACGCTCGCGTCGGGTACCTCGACAAGTGACGGTGACGACGCAGGCTACCTCTCGGCCTCAGGACACGCGCAGTTTGTGGCGCTGCAGGCCAACGTGGTCGCCGCTCTGCTCGCCGCGCTCATCGCCGGCCTCTCCTCGCCCGCGCTCAAGACCGGCGCCGGCAAGGTCGGCGCCGCGCTGAGATCCACCCTGCTGCCGCTACTGAAGAGCCCAGTCCCGCTGGTCCGCCAGCTCGCCGCCGCCGCTCTCGGCCTGCTCGCTGCTGTTGCGCCCGAGGCCTCGAGCGATGCCCTTGCTCGCAGCGTGCTGGAGAGCCTCGAAGCCGCGCTGCGCGAAGGAAACTCGGTCCATGCCGCCGGCTGTGCCCTTGCGCTCGGCTACCATCACGTGGCGCTTGGCTCGCTGCAGGCGGCACCGCTAGTTGGGCCGAGCCTTCGGTTACTGCTGGCCGCAGCGCAAGCCGGCTCGACCCACCTGCACTCGTGGGCTGCCGCCAGTCTCGAGCTGGTCGCCGCCAACGGCTCGGTTGCGCTCCACTCGGCGCTTGACACGCTTCTACCCGCCGTCGGCGCCGTGCTTTGCACCCGCGCGTCGCTCCGGCCGTGCGCTGCGGTGTCGCTCGCCGGCGTCGTCGCGTCGGCCACCGAGGTCCTTGGCCCGGAGCTGGGCATAGAGACTGCCTTTGCTGCCGATGCGTGGACCCTGCTTCGGGTTGTGGCCTATGCGAGCTTGCCGGCGTCGTTCGCAGCCCGGGTCGTCGGCGGGCTGCCGATTCCCGACCACGCATGTGCCATGCCGGGCGCACCGTCAGCAGCCCCAGCGCTGCTCGACACCGCCGCTCTGCCAGCACTCCGCCTCGTCCTCGACGGTGCCGCCAGTCGGCTGGCCTCTGCATGGCGCCCGCTGATCAAAGGCGCGCTGCAGGTGGTCATCATGGCGCCGCGGGCGGTGCCGGCACCCGAGCTCCGTGCCGCCCTTGTAGGCGGCATGGCAGTAGGTGGCGCAGCTCCCATTGTGGCACGAGGCTCGAGCCTTGGACCCGACGCACTCTCGACACTCGAGCAGGCGCTGCAGCGGCTGGGGGGCGATCTGCTTGGCAGCGACAGTGTCGACGCTGCATCGCACCTTGTCGCCAGCGTGATCCTCGCTTCCCAACTGCATACAGTGCAAGCCGGACCGTCGCCGGCGCTGTTGGAAGCAGTTCTTAGTCCCGATAACGCGCCGGCGCTGCTCGCCTTCCTCCGCACCGCTACCCAGGGCGAGGCCGTAGTCGCCCTGCCGCAGCTTGTGCGCGTCGAGTCCGGCACGCCGTCACGCGCTAGCGCTGCTGCTGCGGGTGCTGGTGCCATGGACGCTGAAGACGGCGAGACTATGCTGGGCTCGGACGGTGGTGAGCGCGCGAATGGCGTCAGCCGCGACGGCGTCGAAGTGGGCCTTGGTGTCGGCTCGGGCTCTGTTGTCGTCGCAGCGAGAACAGTGGCGGCTGTAGCGCGCATGGCTGCCGCAGCCGTGTCTGCGCTAGCGCCGCAGCCGCCGCCGGCGCAGCTAGAGCCCGCGGTGGGCATGGCGTTCTCCCTCTGCACCTCACAACTGCCTGAGCTCAAGGTTGCAGGCTTCGGTCTTCTTGCGGTGGTGCTCGATGTGTACGGCGGCGTGCGCGATCCCCAGTTTGACGACATGTACCTGCTGCAGCTCTCGCAGGCGCAGATTGCGTCTGCGCTGCGGTCGGGCTTTGAAGAGGAGGGCGGACGTGCCGAAGTTGGGGTGGCGGCGGCGCCGGTGGTGGCGGCGTATCTGACGTCGCCGGCCATGGCAGCGGCACCGGTGGCCAAGGACGTGGCGCGTACGCTTGCGCCGCTTGTGCGGCTGCAGGGCGAGCTCGACTCGCTCTCGATGCAGTATCCGCACTGCTCGTCGCTCGCCGTGGCGCTGCTCAAGTCGGCAGTCCTCCGCGTTTTTGCCGACCTGCACGTGCAGTCGCTCGAGGCGCCGGCGGCGCCGCTGTCGCCGCTTCTGGCTGACGTGCTCGAGCCGCTTGTGCCCGAGCTCGCCGTCCAGTGGCTGGGCGCGCTGCGCGACACGCCAGTCCTCGGCTTTGCGCTCACCCATGAGGTCCATGCCGAGTACCGGCCGCAGGTATACACTGCGCCGGTGGAGGACCGGGCGCTGCCGGGCCTTGCGCCGCTGGCGGTCCCGCACGCGCCGATGCTGTGGGCGTGTGCTTCGCTGGTGGTGGCCACCATCCACGCCTCGCGTGAAGACGACGACGCCGAGAGCCTACTTCCTGAAGACCGCGACTCGGCCGACCTGCTCCTTGGCCTTGCTGGCGGCTTTCTCTTTTCGGCGTACGGTGAGTCGAGGCCTGCCGACATCTGCTACGCGCTGCGCGCACTGGCGAGCGTGCTTAGCCTCGGCCCACTGCCCAAGTTTCAGCACTACGGCGACGTGCTTGTCGGCGTCAACTCCATGGTGGTGTCGAGGCGGTGCGGTGACGCCGGCCTCACTCTTGTTGTCACCCGCTTGCTGCCCGCATACATGGCTGCGCTACGGGCAGGGATAGATGCCGACGCGCCGAACAGCGCCGCGCCGGTCCTTGACTCACTCTGTGAGCTTGTCTTTGCCGGTATTCTTCCGCAGATCGAGGGCGGAGACCAGTCGATGGTCGATGCGTGGGTTGCTCTTGTTGCCGACCTCATCGCAACGCTGCCGCCACCGCTCTTTGCCTCCCGCTACGAGGCGCCGCTGGTGGTGCGGGTGCTTCACACGTCGGAATCACCCGGCGTGGCCACCGCTCTGGCCAGCGCGTGGCCGACAATGGTCAAAGCACTTCAGAGCCATGGCGCGGTGGCAAGGGTGCTGGAAGCTGTGGTTGCGTCGGCGCCAGCTCAAGTATTGCTCGACAGTCTGCCGTCGCTGATGGTGGCGGCGGCGGGCGTAGCTGACGCCGAAGCTGGCGTGCTCCGGTCTGCGACGACTGCGCTGGTATCGCGGGTGAAGGCGTGTGTTCCTGGCTGCGATGCTGCGGCATTGGCGGCGGGCGGGCGGGCGCTGGAGGTTGCAGCCGGCCTGGCAGCCGTCGCATGCAGCGTCGGGCCAAGTACCGAGGTCGGCGCGCGGCTCGCCGGGTGCTCGCTTGTCCTGGTCCCGCACGGCCTGGTGGCGCTGACCGCACTGGCGCCAACTAGCGATGGTCCTGCAGCCGCGGCCACGCTGGCGGTCCCTGTGGCGGCGCTTTGCCAGACCCTGTACTGCGGCGGGGTTCTTGACGCTGCGGCGCAGGGCGTGATGCTCGCCGGTGCGCTTCCGGTCCTGGCGGTCTATCTTCAAGTGGCGGCGGAAAGCCCCTCTGCCGACGCGCTGCTTGCGGTGGTCCAGGCCATGGGCGGAGCCAACGCCGAAGTGTTCCGCGATGTGATGGAGCGGATGCCGGCCATCCGCGAAGCAGTGGCCGGCGCAGCGCGCGCCCAGGCCGAGCGGCAGGCCGCCGCGCAAGCCGCAGCAGTCGCTGCCGCCGCCACCTCCAGCGGAAAGCGCGGCAAACGTAAGGGCCGCGGCGGCAAGGCCAAGAACAAGGCAGCCATCTCGCTCTCGCTCTTTGGCCAGTAAAAGGCATCGCTGTGTGTGGTGTGTACTGTGGCTCGGTGTGGTTTTGGTGTTGTTATTATCGTGGCTGGAGTCAAGTCGAGCCAGTCGGCATGCGCAGGCCCCCATGCTCATCCATTACTCGGCGTCGTTAGGCTGGACTGCGTTCTTAGTCTCGTCGGCAGCCTGGGCTGTGGTCTCCCTCACGCCATCGACCACCTCCTTGGACTTGTCCTTGACCAGCTTGCCTGTCTCGGTCGCCAAGTCCTTGACGGCCGTACCCGCCTCGGAAGCGGCGTTGTTCACCTTTTCCTCTTGCGACTTTTCCTCCTGGAGGCCGAGCGTCTGCTTGATGGTATCCATGTTGATGATGCTGTTGTTGATGATCTTGTGTGTGTGTATGCCGGGAATACTTGGTGCTATTTGTTGACTGTCAGCGCGGGGTTTTATGAACTGGCGAATGTTCCCGAATATTCGGCTGTCGTCACGGTTGCAACACAGACGTCATCGCACGTCACTGGACGGCACGTGCGGTGCGTTGGTCGGGTCAATGGCAGGGGCAACTGCGGCAACGCATCATAAATATGTCACGGTATGGTCCTGGCTACGCGAGGGCGGCGGTGAGCTCGCTGAGCCAGGCCTTGCACTCGTCCTTGGACGAGGCGACAAAGACAAAGGAGCCGGCGCGTGTGGCGAGGACAAAGGCACGCGATGAGGCCTTGCCTGCGGCCTTGGAGCCCTTGGTGACCGAGGCGCCGGCGAGGTCGACGACGATGGACGAGTTGTCGTCAAGGTAGTTGACCTCGAGCCTGGCGGCAGTAAGCGCGACGCGACAGGCGCGCTGTTCCGAGCCGGACATCATGGAGAGCGCACCGTCGCGGATGACAACGACGGCGGCCTGGGCGGCGATCGGCTCGGCGACCTGGACGACCGAGGCGACAAGGCCTGCGGCGGCGAGCTCGGCGTTGGCATCGAGAACTACCGGGGTGAGGCCGCCGCCGCCGCCGTCGTCAGAGCGGCGCGAGGCTGTCGACGGCGAGCGCGATCGCGAGTGACCGGGCACAGCGCCCGGCGCGCGCGACGAGACGTCCGACGTTCCTCCCTCCTCGGTGGTGCACATGCCCTCGCACACGAGCGCAGTGATCCACTTGTGCATGGCGGCCTCGTCGGGCGCGCGGAGAAAGTAGTCGCGGGTCCCGGTGTGCGAGAGGACAAAGGCGTACTGACCCTTGCGCGGGACGCGCTTGACCTCGCGACCCATGGTGGGGATGGTGCCCGAGGGCTTGTCGCCGTCATCGGCTGCCTCCTTGTTCTTGTAGTACGAGAGGACGTAGGCGTCGAGGACAAAGTAGCGCTTGCGCCAGCCCTTGGAGACTGACGACGCCTGCTTGAAGAGGTAGCCACTCATCGGCTGGTTGCCGCCCGAACCGGTCAGCGACGCGCCCGACTCGGTAAAGACTCGCCCACGAGTCGCAAGCGACACGCCCGAGTTGTTGTTGCGGGCCTGGGCCGGTGATCCCGGTAAGTCCATGCCCTCCATCAGCTTATTCAGCGAGAGGGTCGAGACGTCGACCGAGGCTCGGCGCGCCGCATTGCTCGTCGACTTGCCGCGCGGGGTGAGCGTGAGATGCAACTGGCTCGGCTCGCCGTAGCCAGGCTCAACAAACTCGCCCGAGTGCGGTCGCCGCTTCATGTCATGGTCATTGCTCTTGCCCTTTCCCTTGCTCTTGCTCTTGCTCTTGCCCTTGCCCTTGCGGGGGGAGGCAAGTGCCATGGCCGCAGCGGTGGCAGCTGCCAGGAACTCGGCATCGGCCCGCGGATCCGGCGGCGGCGGTGCGGCCGAGGCTGGCGTCGAGCCGGTGAGCAGCCGGATGGCGCGGAGGACGTGGAACCTGTGGCCGACAACGTCAACTCCGATCTCGCGTAGGAGCTCGTGATCCGCAAGTTCGGCAAGCATTGAGCCGTCGATAGCGTGCGCGCGAAAGGCGTGTGCGTAGCGGGCCATCCCAATGAGATCCAGCCACTGGCCTACCTCGGCGCGTGACCAGGTGGCGACCTGGTGGGCCCGAGCCTGGAGCGGAACAACGAGCTTGAAGGCGTCGGCGGCGGCGGGCGCCTCGTCAGGGGTGGAACCAGCGTCCTGGCCGCCGCCGCCGCCACCACCACCATCGCCGTCGTCGTCATCGTCGGAGCTGATCCAGGCCGGAAAGAGCGACGCGTTCGACTGTGTAAGGAGCCGCGAGACGGCGTCCTGGACTCGCGCCAGCAGCTGCTCGCGGTACTTTGCGGCCGCGTCTGACTCGTACTTTGCGCGGAGAACGTCCGAGGCCGAGGAGACGGTGTCCCAGCCTGCGGCGGCAAAGGCGGCATAAGCGGCAGCGTTGCCGCCGAGGTGCATCAGCAGCAGCTGCGACGGGTGCCATGTGTCCAGATCGAGCGAGCGGACGAATGAGAGCTGGACGCCGAGCGAGCGGTGAAGGCCCGAGCACTCGACGCAGAGGAAGGTGCCGTATGAGAGTGAGGCCCAGCGCGGGTTGCTCGCTCCGCAGTCGATGCACACCGAGTTGGCCTTGGACCCACCCTGGACCGCCGCGATCGAGACCGGGATGTCCACCATGCTGCCATCAGCGCCATTCCCTCCGGCAACAGCGGCATTCGGTGATGATGCCGCCACCGATGCTGTCGGTGGGCTAACGGTGACTGCAGGCGATGCAGATGCGCCTCCGCTCGTCGGCACAGCAGTCACACCCGAACCCGATCGCCCAACGGCCGAGGCGGCGGCGCTTCTCGTTGCGGCACCGCTCGCCGGCCCTGCTGTCGAGAGATCAAAGGGCGACGATGAGGAGGAGGAGGCCGACGATGAAGACGACAGCTCGGAGACGGACGACGAGTCGGAGGAGGAGGAGGAGCACGCGCCGTCGTCGTTGTTGTTGCTCCCACGGGCGGCCTTGGCATGGAGCGCAGGGACAGCCGTGTGGGCCCTGTTTCGCACACGGGACATGGCCGAGGAGCTGGCAGCTGTAAACGTCGAGAGCAGCTGGTGGTGGTGGTGGTCGCGGTGGTGGTGGTCGTGGTGGTCGTGGTGGTGGTGGGAGAGTGGTGGCGGGCAGAGCAGCTGGCTCGTGTCGTCGGTGTCGGTGAAACAGAGGCGGTGTGTCCTTTTTTTCGTAGAGACCTTTTTCAGGGGACGGCTAGCCAGCTGGCAGCAACCATATCACAGACCATGTGCATGTGTACATGGGCCTCGTTTGATTGCCATGGCTAAAGGTGGTATGATCCATATCGTCATCCTCATTGTGTCGCCATCTGCCGCTAAGATTGCCTCACATCACCATCACCACCACCACATCACCGCCATGCCCATCACCATCACCATCACCACCATCACCATCACCATCAGCCAATCTCTTCACCCCGATCCCTCCAACCCCATTCCCCCCCCCTCCTCCAACCCCCCTCCTCCAACCCCCCTCTCCCAAAGAGCCAAAGAACAATGGTTCCTCCGCCGAACAAAGCCGTCCAAAGCCGAGTCTCCTGACCACACGCACACACACACACACACACACAGGCACACACACCGACACATCTCGCCCACACCTCGCGGTCCATATGGACGACACACACTACGAGCAGAGTAGAGTGGCATGGCGGCGGAGAGTGGCGACGGCCGAGGCGGACCGCAGGGCTGCGAGGAGAATGAAGATTGCTCGACAGACGCGCGAGGCACGACGAAGCGTAGCGCTGCGCAAGGTGGGCAAGGTCGAGCCGGGCAAGGTCCGGGGCCTGCATGATGTTGGCCAAGGCGAGCGGGAGCAGGTGGCGGCAAGGACCATGCGAGTGTTTGTCTCGTCGACGTTTACCGATCTGATGAACGAGCGGGAGGAGGTGATCAAGCGGACGGCGCCCGAGCTGGCAGCCTATGCCAGCGATGTGGGCATCCACTTCTCGGCCATTGATCTTCGCTGGGGCATCACCAAAGATGCTGCTGCGCAGGGTCAGGTGCTGGAGACTTGTCTGGCAGAGCTCGCTTCGTGTGCTCCCTTCTTTATCTGCATTCTCGGTGATCGCTACGGATGGGCCCAGCCACATCCCTCACTCGCCCAGGATCCGCTGCTAGCCGCCACCTTTGACGCTGCGGCCGAGGCTGGCCACTCTTGGGTCCACGACTACAGCCAGTGCTCGATGACTGAGCTCGAGGTTGTCGCTGGCGCGCTCGCGCATCCCAAGGCCGTCTACGAGCGCGCATTCTTCTACTTTAAGGCCGGCTGCCCCGGGTCCGAGCCCGAGAACGTCGCCCGCGATCTGGTCCACGTCGCGGCCGGAAACGAGCACGCCGGCGAGTCGGCGTACCACACGCTCCGACTCATCCGGCTCAAGCAGCGAATCCGCAAGTCGGGTCTCCATGTCCGCCTCTTCCACTCGCCCAAGGAGCTTGGTGAGATGGTCGAGCGCGATCTCCGTCTCGCCCTCGACGACGCTTTCTTTGCCGCCCAGGGCCTACCCGTCGGCTCCACATCCGCCAGCGGTTCCGGCGAGCACCTTTCCGAGACGCTCCCGCGCCAGTTTGAGGCCAATCCGTGGATGGCGGATGTGAAAGTGCCGAACATCCGCGGGCCCGATGGCGGTGTCGCCGACGCTATTGTCGCCTTTCTCACCGCGCAGCACGTCACGCCGCTCGAGCGCATCGCCGTCGTCGAGGCCGAGGCCGGTGCCGGCAAGAGCCTCGCCATGACGACTGCGTTTTCTTCCCTCGTCGCGTCCGAGTCGGACGTCATTGCCGCGTGGCAGGTGACTTGTGGTGAAGCCGTTGTCGACGTGCTCTGCGGCCTGGTTGCTGCGCTCGCCGCGCAGCTCCCGCAGCTGGCAGCCGAGCGGCCACCGGCGTCGCTGGCCGAAGCGTCGACGGCGTACATCAACACAGTCCGATGGGCAACCAACGCCGCCAAGCGAGTGCTGATCATGGTCGACGGGCTCGACGAACTGGCCAGCACCGTAGGCCTATCCACGCTTGTCTTTGACCGGCGCGTGCCGGAGAACGTGGCACTCGTTGTCTCGCGCGCGCCGGGCACCGTTCGCATTCTCGACAGTCTCCCGCACACGCTTCGGCCCACGCCGTGGACGCCCGAGCAAATTGCCACCTTTGCAGCGGCCTCGCTCAAGTCAGTCGGCAAGACACTCTCACCGGTCCAGATGGACATGATTCAGTTAGCACCGGCAGCGCGGCTTCCGCTCTTCACCACCGTCCTCCTCGGTGAGCTGAAGGTGTACGGAGACTTTGAAGCGCTTGATGCGCATCTGGCGTGGCTCGCGTCGCTTGACTCGCCCGAGGCGCTGCTTGGAGAGCTCTTTGCGCGGTGGGAGGCCGAGTTTGAAGGCCCGAGCGGGCTGCGTGCCGGGACGGTCCGCGAGGCGCTCTGGCTCGTTCATTTCTCGTCGGGCGGGGTGCGTGAGGATGAGCTCCTTGCCATGCTCTCGGTCGGCGATCGGGTGGTGTGGCGGCCGTTTGCGCGCGCTCTAGCGCCGCTGCTCCGGACCACCCGCTCCCGGCTCCGGTTTGCGCATCCAACAACCTCGGCAGCGCTGACGAGCAAGTTTGCGGTCCCCGCATCGCTGCTGAAGACCTTTGTGGGCTACTTTGAAGAGATGGCAGCGTCGCCGGCAGCGCGTCGGAACGAGGATGCTCTTGGGCGGGCAGGAGGCGAGATCTATGGTGCACTCCTTCACGCCGAGCCGTCGACATACAGGGCGGCACGTCTGGAGGCCAACATGCAAAGTGTCCCGCTGTTGCTGGGCATGTACTCGGGCTCGGGCATGCCGCCCGAGGTGCTGCTGCGAGTGTTCAAGACGGTGCTGGGCGAGGAGCTGGCCGGGCTTGATGATGCGCTCGAGGCGGCGCTGAGGGCGTACATTGACGAGTCGGGTGGGCGAGTGACCCGCGACATGCTTGCCGACGCGCAGCTGCGGGTGGGTGTGCTCCTTCGCGAAGTCGGCCAGCTCCGTGGAGCCGCGCGGGTCCTCAAGGCTGCGCTGGACACATGCTCACGGGCGTACGGCTCGAGCCATGAAAAAACCGGCGATGTGCTGGTGGCACTTGCCAGCATCGGTGGTGACGGCTCGCTGGACTACATCGAGCGGGCAGAGCTTGTGCTCAACCGGGCGGTCGGCCCGCGCGACGCCAAGCGCGGACGAGTGCTCTGCACCAAGGGCCTTCTTCTCAAGAAGGCCGGCAAGTACGACGAGGCGCGCGCCGCATATGAGGCTGGGCTGGTGGTGCTCGAGGCTGCAATTGGGGCTTTTGCGCCCGAGACCACGCGCGAGCTTCGTCGGCTGGGCGACGTGTTGCGCAAAATGTCCAAGTGGGCCGAGGCCAAGGCTGTGTACGACGCAGTCTTCGCCGCTACGGTTCGCGTCTTTGGTGAGCGGCACGTGGCAGCGGCCGAGGCGCTCGCTGCCATCGGCAACGTCTCCAAAAAGCAAGGCAAGTACACGGCGGCGCTCGATGAGTACGGGCGGGCGCTGGCGACCGCCGAGGCTATCCTCGGTCCTCGGGCGCCGCTGGTGGCAGACTTGCAGGCAGCACTCGGTGACGTCCATCGACTTCTAGGGAACTACCCGGCAGCGGCGGAGGCGTACGCGCGGGCGCTCGAGATTCGCGAAGCCGCCCTTGGGCCCGAGCACGGTGACGTCGGCGAGACTCTTCTGGCGCTCGGCAAGATCGCCAAGAAGCGGGGCGAGTACGGCCAAGCGATGGAGTTGTACGACCAGGCCCAGAGTGTGCTCGAGAATGCGCTCGGCAGCGAGCACCCCAAGGTGGCGCAGGTGGCGCAATGCCAGGGCGACGCGCTGCGCAAGCTGAAGCGGCTCGACGCGGCCGAGGCGCGGTACTGTGCGGCGCGGGCCATCAACGAGCGCGCTGGCCTCGCTGGCGAGGTGGCTGAGAATGACAATGGCATTGCACTGGCGCAGCTGGCTCGGCCGACGTTTGGACCAAGCTCGGCGCCGGCCATCGCCGATCGTATCGCAGCCGCCCTCGACGCCTTTGAGCGCTGGTTCGGCGCCTCGCATCCAAAGAAGGCGCAGGCACTCAACACGTATGGTATCTTCTGCAAGATGACTGGCGATCTCGAGGGGGCGCAGGCCGCGTACGAGGCCGCCATGGCCATCAACGTCGCCGCCTTTGGTCCACGGCACATCGAAGTCGCCGAGAACCACGCCAACCTTGCCGCCGTCGCCGCCGCGTCTGGCAACCGTCGCGAGGCGCGGGTCCTCCTCTCGAGGGCCATAGGAGTGGCTGAGGAGGTCTTTGGCACCGCCGCTGCCGCGCGAGTCAAGACCGATGTGTGGGTGGCACGGGTGGAGGAGGCACTGGCGAATAAATAGGCGATGGTCCTTGCCTCCTCTTGGTCAAGGTGTTGTTGCGCTCGTGAGCTTGCGAAACAGGTGCGCCCGGTAAAAGAAAACGTGATCACAAAACCATTCCTGCATGAAAGACGTCTCATGCGGGAGTCGCAAGTCGCCAGAGACACGCAGATGATCTCGCAGTGGGGGAAAGTCTCCGTGAGAAGAGGATCATTTAGCGAGTCGCACTACTGCAACAGCAACTGTCTCTGATGTGGGGGCGATCTGTGGCATGAGACAAACACAAGCGGTTACCGGAGGGGTGGCCGAGGTGGAAATATTGAGTGACAACGTCCAATAAATGGTCAACATTGGGAGGCAGGCAGTGGCACTCGTCGCTCGGCCGCCTTGGCGCCAACCGACCAACCATGTCGGATGACGAGGACGTGGCGGCTTTGCTAGCCGGACTGGAGGCGAGCTCGTCTGAGGGATCACTGGACATGGACATGCTCAATCAGTTGAATGCGCTTGGTATGTGTAAGGTGCCTGTGTGGCGTGTGTCCGCGTATGTGCGGTGTGTGCGGTGTGTGCGGTGTGTGCGGTGTGTGCGGTGTGTGCGGGGCGCGGGCGGGGACGGCCAGGAAGAATGCCCTGTGACGGGCTGGTGGGCTGGTAGTCTGACGGGCTGGGTGTTGGCTGGCGGGCTGGATGGTGGCTGGCGGGCTGGATGGTGGCTGGCGGGCTGGATGGTGGCTGGCGGGCTGGATGGTGGCTGGCGGGCTGATTGGCTGGCGGGCTGGTGTGGCTGGTTGGCGGTTGATCTGGTGGGCGTTGTGGTGCTGACTAACAAGGATATGGGAGAGTGCAGATGAAGATGATGACGAGGGGGATGACGGCGGAGACAACGCAGATACGCTGGCGATGCTTGCAGCGCTGGGAGGTGATGACGGCGATGATGGTGATGGCGGTGACGATGCTGAGAGTGAGAGCGAGGATGCGCTGGCGATGCTAGCAGCGCTTGAAGAAGACGATGACGACGACAACGACGGGGACGGAGGTGGCCAGGACAATGGCGAGAGCGAGGATGCGCTGGCGATGCTAGCAGCGCTTGAAGAAGACGATGACGACGACAACGACGGGGACGGAGGTGGCCAGGACAATGGCGAGAGCGAGGATGCGCTCGCGATGCTAGCAGCGCTTGAAGAAGACGATGACGACGATGACGACGGAGACGACAAGGAGGGCGATGAGAGCGAGGACGCTCTCGCAATGCTCGCCGCGCTCGAAGACGAGGACGACGATGACGGTGGTGGCACCAACAATGATGGTGATGACAAGGACAATGGCGAGAGCGAGGATGCATTGGCAATGCTCGCGGCTTTGGAGGACAAGTCAAGCGATGACGAAGTGACCATTGTCGAGGCCAAGAAGGAGGGTAAGACAGTTGACGATGCCGACGACTTGCTGGCGTTTATCGACGACGAGCTTTCGGATGATGGGTCTGAGTCGTCGTCGTCGGACATTGTGGTGAACGAGGATGGCAAGGCGTGGAGCCTGGACGAGTCAGCCACGGGCGAGAAGCAGATGGACATGGCGGCCAAGACGTTGCGCACTGTGCGCGACCTTGTGTGTAGCGTGTGCTCGCTCAAGGCGAGTCAGGCGGATCTGCTGCAGCACGCAGTGCCGATGCGTGATGTCCTTCAAGAGTACACAGCGTACTGCATGGATCAGCTCTCCGAGAGTGAGAGCGACGAAGCAGTCTATCGCAACTCGATGGTCTCGACTGCTTGTGACAACATCATGGGCGCGGCGCAGACGCTCGTGCTCTCGTCAAACTCACTGCTCACTGACCGCGACAACCTCGAGGCGTGGGACGGGCAGCGCGATGCCATCCGCGCCTTGGCGACTGCGATGCAGATCACGTTTGAGGCTGTGCCCGACAAGATCAAAGTCTCTCAGTACGAGCACGACGTTCAGGATGCACTCGTCCTCCGCCGAAACGCGCTTGCTGCCAAGTCTGAGCAGCTGCGCCAGGCCATGGAGGCCGACGGACGCGAGGCCAAGGAAGCGGCGGAGCGTGCTGCGCTCCAGCGGGAGCAAGAGGCACAGCTGGCCAAGGCTGAAGAGGAGGCGCGACTTGCTGCCGAGGCCGAGGCCAAGGCCAAGGCTGAGGAAGAGGCACGGCTAGCTGCAGAGGCGGAAGCGAAGGCCAAGGCTGAGGAAGAGGCGCGACTTGCTGCCGAGGCGGAAGCCAAGGCCAAGGCTGAGGAAGAGGCGCGACTTGCTGCAGAGGCGGAAGCCAAGGCCAAGGCTGAGGAAGAGGCGCGACTTGCTGCCGAGGCGGAAGCCAAGGCCAAGGCTGAGGAAGAGGCGCGACTCGCTGCAGAGGCAGAAGCCAAGGCCAAGGCAGAAGAGGCGCGACTTGCTGCAGAGGCGGAAGCCAAGGCCAAGGCCGAAGAAGAGGCGCGACTTGCTGCAGAGGCCGAGGCCAAGGAAGCAGCGGAGCGTGCTGCGCTCCAGCGGGAGCAAGAGGCACAGCTGGCCAAGGCTGAAGAGGAGGCGCGACTTGCTGCCGAGGCCGAGGCCAAGGCCAAGGCTGAGGAAGAGGCACGGCTAGCTGCAGAGGCCGAGGCCGAGGCCAAGGCCAAGGCTGAGGAAGAGGCGCGACTTGCTGCCGAGGCGGAAGCGAAGGCCAAGGCCGAAGAGGAGGCGCGACTTGCTGCCGAGGCGGAAGCCAAGGCCAAGGCCGAAGAAGAGGCGCGACTTGCTGCCGAGGCGGAAGCCAAGGCCAAGGCTGAGGAAGAGGCGCGACTTGCTGCCGAGGCGGAAGCCAAGGCCAAGGCCGAAGAAGAGGCGCGACTTGCTGCCGAGGCGGAAGCCAAGGCCAAGGCCGAAGAAGAGGCGCGACTCGCTGCAGAGGCAGAAGCCAAGGCCAAGGCCGAAGAAGAGGCGCGACTTGCTGCAGAGGCCGAGGCCACAGAGCCACCCCCACCACCCATGTCTATCCAGCTCACACCACAAGACCATGCCGCCGCCTCCGAGTCGTCGGCGTCATCGATCGACGTTGCGGCTTTTGCCTCGTCCGATGCCTCGTCGTCCGCACTGGCACCAGCGTCGTTGTCAAGCGAGGTCGATTTTGGCGATCTCATGGAGTCGTCCTCAGCCGATGACGAGGCTGCGCTGCTTGCTCAGATGGAGGCCGACGCACGCGATGAGGCTTTACGGGCCTCGGCCCGCTCGCGTGCCACACCTGCTCCGGTGCCACCACCGTCGCCTGCGTCTGCCCCCGCGACCGACTCGCTCGACGCCATGGCCATGGCCGACCTGGCGGCCGAGAACGAGCGACTGGAGTCGCGCGTGGCAGCCGCAGAAGCTGAGCGGAGCGCGGCTGCGCAGGACGCGGTCGCCCCTGGCGACACGGCCGCCCTGCGCGAGCGAAACGCTGAGCTCAAGCGTGAGTTGGCACACATCCGCTCCGAGGTCGCCGCCCTCCAGCTCCAGGCTCCGGCTGACGCTGCTGTCGCCGAGCTGAAGCAGGAGAATGACATGCTGGAGGATGACATCGACGCTCTCCGCCGCCGCAAAGTCGAGTTGATGGACAGGCTCGAGGGCCGCTCGACGCAGTACGCCAAGGAGCAATCGCTGCTTGCCAAGCACAAGGCCGAGCTCGAGTCGCTGCTTGCCAGCCTCCACGCCGAAGTCCGGACCGACACCGCCAAGCTTGCCGAGCTCGAGGACGCCATTGAGGCGCTCGAGGCCCAGGCTCGCACCACCGCGCTCGAGCTGAAGGAACAGATTCGGATCGCGGCTGCCGACCGCGACTCGGTTCGAACCGCCAAGGCCCGCCTCGAGGACAAGCAGCTTGTGCTCCAGCGCGACATCGGGTCGCTCGAGGCCGAGCTCGAGGAGACGCTCGCTGCCAAGAACGCACTCGTCACCGAGAACGAGGCGCTCGAGGCGTCGATCGCCCAGGCCGACGAGTTCCTCACCTACCGCACCTCGGTCCTCGAGTCGGCGCGGGCGGCGGCACTCTCGCAGCAGCGCTCGTGCGAGACGCGCAAGCGTGAGCTAGACACCAAGTACCGAGCGCTCAAGGAGCAGGTCGACGAGACCGAAGCCGAGATCCAGGCTGTCGCCAGCCACGCCAACGAGCTCACGGCGCTCTCCACCGCCGCCTATCATGAGCTCGAGTCGAACCTCGAGGCACTTCATGCCGCCCGGGCCGCCCAGGGTCGCCGCATGGCCGAACAACAGGCCCGTGCCATGGACGCCGCCCGCGATCTCGAGCGTGTCCGCGCCGCCGCCGCCGAGCAGCGGACCGCCCTTGCCCAAGCCACCGCCGCCACCGAGCAGCTGCAGGCGCTCGCTGAGCTTGCCACCACAGCCGCCGCCGAGAAGGAAGCCCTCGACGAGCTCAACGCCGAGCTGGCCACCGCCCGCAACCGCGCCGCCGCCGCCGCCGCCCTCGTCGAGCAGCGTGAGGCCGAGGCCCGCGCCTCACGCCACCACACCGAGGCCGCCATGGCACGCTCACTCCGCGAGCTCGACGCACTCGCCGCTGCTTCCGCCGACGCCGACGCCGCGCCGCCGCTCTCGCCGCCCCGCCCACGCCCCCGCGGCAGTTGGCGAGCTCGGTCCTGGACGAGCGCGCGCCGCCACGCGAGCGTCCGGCGTGGCTCGAGCGCGAGCCGTCGACGCCATCAGCGCCTGCCGCGGCTACTGCGCCGTCGTCACTCCCGGCGCCGCCCACCACACTGGAAGAGATCCAAGCCGAGATCGACGCTGTCCGCGCCAAGCTGGCCGGCAGCAGCCCGCCCGACGTCGGCCAGCGACCCGGACTCCGGTCGGCGTCTTCGGTCGACGCGCCACGGTTCGAGACGGTGCCGCGACTGGGCTCCACTGGACTGAGTGCGGCGAGGCCGGCACGGGGCGGTGGGCCGGCGCGGATCTCGTCGCTCCTTGACTTGCCTGCGTTGTCCCAGACAAGGCCCGGACCGACCGCGTCGCGCACGCAGTACGGAGTTCGGCGGAGCGGGCGGTCGCCGTTTCTGCCCGACTCGGCACTGCCCGGCAGCGGCATTGGCACGCGGCCGCGGAGCGTGGCGGCAGCAACAGCGGCATCGACGCGGTTCTCATTCCTTTGAGAGAAGCGCGTTTACCTCGATGACGATGTGGGAGGTCGGTGGAGCTACTCGGCGCAGCTGGCACAGACACGCGACTCGTCGCGCATGTAAAACTTAGTCCCGACAAGGCCCGAACCGCAGACGTCGCAGTTGAGGCACGATGGGTGGTAGGTCTTGTCGCCGGCGAGGGCGGCGTCGCCGAGCACCTTTTGCCCGCAGCCGTCGCAGATGACCGAGGTGACGGCGCCGGACGGAACGTGGTCCTTGCAGAACAGGTTACCGTCGACCTGGAAGAACGAAGTCGAGCCTGTGGCGTTGATGGAGACGTCGCACGAGCTGCACTTGAAGCACTCGGTGTGGTACAGGTTTCCGTCGCCGGCGTCGATGGCGTTTTCGGTGATGACGCCGCCGCACTTTGAGCACCGCTGGCCAAAGCGGGCAGAGAAGCAGTTGTCGCAGTACGCCACGCCGTCCTGCTCCACAAACGAGCCGTCGCCATCGGCAAAGACTGTGGCACAGTCGGCGCAGGCAAAGCAGGCTGCGTGCCACGGCTTGTTGAGCGCCTTGATGGGCGCATCGGTGATCTTCATGCTGCACTTTGCGCAGACGTCGAGGAACATACGGTCGTGGCACGTTCCGCAATACGGACGGTTGTCCTTGACAAGGAAGGTCTCGGTCTTGAGCTGGGTCGAGCACGTGGTGCAGGTAAAGTGCTCCACATGCCACTTGGAGCCCATGGCCTCGAGGACCGAGCCAAAGATGTTCATCTGGCACCCGGCGCACACCGGATTGCCCGCCGTCACGTCCGACGAGTCGACCGCATCGAGCACTGCTGCCGTTTCGGCTGACAGCGACGGATTGGCCACAATCCGCACCGACGCCCGCTTTGGCCGCCGCTGCGTCTCGCTCTCGGGCACACCCAGATCGTTCAGCAGCGCGTCCAGATCATCCCCACCACCCGCTGTACCTCCCGCGCCCGCCGATCCCGACGACCCACCGCCTGCCGCATCCGGCGCCGACGCTGTCGCCGGCGCCGACGCTGTGGTCGATTCTCCGCCCTGAGCGGAGAGGTCAGCAAGGATCGAGTCGAGGTCGTCCACTGCAACCGTTCAGACCAGCCCAGCACGCCCAGCCCCAGCAGCAGCAGCCCCAGCAGCATGCCAATGCCCACCCACAGCCATCCCATCCACAGCCATGAGTACCACCCCCCCCTCTCCCCCCCCCCCCCCCCCCCCCCCCTCTCTTCCCTCCCCCTCCCCCTCCCCCTTCCCCCCCTTCCCCCCCTCTCTTCCCCCGACAGGCGTTTTTTGGGAAGGACGGCAGAGAGGGCTTTCACCGCGCAGGGAGGGGAGAGGGAGGGGAAAGGGGCAGCCATGGCTGGCACCACTCGCAGTGGCTATACCCATCCCCAACTACAGCACCCCACCGGTCCCCTCTTGTCGTCTTCCCTCCTCCCCCCT